TCAGTTGGGCCACCACAGGGTTTTCAAGGTCGAAGAGCTTGCTCCCAGTGTCCCTAATAACTTTTGCGGGAAATAGAGTGGAATGGAGTGGTGAGTTGGCAGCTGGCACATCAGGGGAAGTCTTCCCGTCAGCACCTCTCCAGAGCTGGCCTGGATGCTGCGTTGGGGGCGCGATATGACAGAACCGCTATGGGCAACTCAAAACTCAAGATGGGGGAATAATGGGGCGGGAGAAATGGCCCCGACTAACGTTAAATGCGGGGTCAGTGCCATTGGCTTGCTGGATTCACCCCCCTGTGCTGTGTTTGTGTGCCCATCAGTGGAAGAGCAGCTCTTCCGCTCAGTAGAGGGCCAAGCAGCATCTGATGAAGAGGAGGAGAAGTGGACGGGAAAGCAGCAGTCGCAGGTGGATGAGGTGAAGAGGATCTTAACCAGGTTGTCCTGCTGCGGCGAGAGGTATAGCTTATTGACTATGCTTCACGGCCATGCTACTATCTCCACCAACACAGTGTGTCCACCTGACAATATAACCCTCAGACCTTCTCCATCGGATAATTCATGGCTTGTCATTTTAGGTGTTTGATGCTTCTAATCCGCAGGTGCGACGACAAGGCTGTCAGGAAGCTACTGTCACACTTTGGGGGCACCAGGAGCGAGGAGAACCAGAGCGCCATGGTGGAGCTCCTGGAGAAGGTCACTCGGCTAAACAAACAGCTGGAGATAAAGGAGACCCTGGCACGCAAGGCTGAGATGGACATGGACCAGGTAGGCCAACATGCCCATTGGACCACAACTGTTGCTTGGCAACCTGCAAATTCTAGAAGGTATGGTCATGCCATGCTAATGGTACATTAAATAAGGCCTTGCAGCCCTCGCATTACATATCATGGGGTTCTGTCTCGCCTTAAATGACACTGGGAAGGGACGTCAAGCTGGGAAGCCTCCTAGTGAGTTGTTATGAAGGGCTTCAAAGTTAAACCGCAGCGTGTGGCCAGCCGCTCCTCCTAGCTTCCAACAGCAATCTGCCTGCCTCCGCCCTCCACTGCGGTCTCTGGCTGATGTCTGTTTCTGTTGCTAACTGTAACAACTAGAGATACCCCTCCACCATGCGTACAGGCAGTCCCCAGGTTACGAACGGGATCCATTGCCTAAGTCTGTTATGATACCTAAGTTGATTTTATAGGTAAGTCGTACAGTACATAATTATTATTTATTTATATTATTATTATTATTATTACATTATAATAATTGTTATTATTCAGTAATAAAAATAACTAGGCTGAAGCAGCCTGTATAAAGGGTATTACAAAGAGATGGAATAAGCCAGACCTACCAACACAAGACGAATGGTTCGAAATAGTGGAATATA